CAACGATTGCCCCACTAAGATACAAATTTCATCATCCGTAATAAAGAATTATGAACATTAGTTGCCAGGAATGTAAGATAAAGAAAGGAGGAAAGTTCAGTCAGGATGATGGCATTTACTTTATCTTGGTAGCATCTCTAAAATCTACTGGAATTGACCTAAATATAAAGATTATCTGAGCAATGGGATTTCTTCACAGCAACTTCGCCCCTAATCTTTCAAGTCTCATCTTTCCAATTACATTATCAACTCCTTGAGGGTAACTGTTTATTCTTGGGATTTAAATTCCTTTTAATTTAAAAAGGCGAGGCATACAGCAGGCCTTCTGAATCTCATCGAGAGAATGGTAGTCCTTTTTACTACTGGTTCTGTCCCCTAAAACCATTCACTTGGCCCAAATGACAAACTCTTATTATATTTATTGCTTTGTAAGTGCCAGGCACTGTTTTAAGCACATTTTCATCAACATTTAACAGCACTCTGAGAAGAGTATTTTTAACATAGCCTTAGAGGGCACTAAGGCACAGAGTTTAAATAACTATTGAAGATCATAGAGCTTCTAAGTTTTGGAATTAACACCTGAATCCAGGCAGTCTGTTTCCCAAGCCTCTCTCTCTCAGGAAAGAAAACCACTTCGCAGATGACTAAAACATTATCCTCTACCTACCTACCCATCTATCTATATCTCATTCGATTCTCCCAACAACCCTGTGAGTTAAACAAGAAAGGCATACCCATTTTACAGATGAGAAAACAGTCAAGTGGGTATAAACTAAGCTGCTTCTAGAAGGCCAGTCTTCTGCCCTCCATTTATAGCACTTCTCACACTATACCACCCTGATTTTGAGGTGGCAGATCCTAAAATTAGGTTTTAGGAACTATCTGGAGCCATGCTCTATATGTAAAAATGGGTACTTTGTATAAAGATACTATTTTCACACATGGTTCACTCCCCAAAACCTCGCATTAAAGCAGGGGTGGGAAACGTCTGGCCTGCAGGCCGTATTTGGTCTGGCCCTGCCAAGGCACCCGTAGGCGGGACTCAAAATTCAGTAAATCTAGGAGCTTTTTTCACAGCAACAATAATTTTGTATGGCCCGAGAATGATGTTATAAATATCCGAATGGCCCTTAGCAGAAAAAAGGTTCCCCACCCCTGTATTAAAGGGATAAAACTGTTAACCAAAAAATCTGGCAAGTGATTATGATGAGACTTGGAGAAACTGTGTGGATTAAAAAATGTAGAAACACTATTTACTGAGGCTTTAAACCAAGAAAGTAAAGTAACATTTCACTTGTGCAATACATGTGCTGCTGTGAAAACAAATCAGAACCCCTGTCTGCATCCACAGAACTCTCTGAGCATCCATCCAACCCACACTTCACCCAGCAACTCGGCAAAGTCAAGTATTTCCTTTCAGAAGAATAACTCCCAAAATTACTAGCAACAAGTTAATCTGACTTCTAGTGAGTGTTCATCAATCCTTCCAGTACATCAAGAAGTAAAATATCCAGCAAATGTCCTAACTGTGCTCCTCATATCTCCCATCAGAGGAAAAGAGTCCCAAACCTACCGCTTCCACCTCAACTACGTGACCCTGCGCAAACAGCATGCTCTCTCTGGGTCTTGCTTTTAAAAATGTTATTGCCCTTAACTTCTATTCAGGAAACAGCTAAATTTAAAGGATCCCCAAGAAGGGCTAAAATGCACAAACAAGTGGTGCTCACAAAATGCTCGAAGTTGTCCAAAATGGCCAATGCTTGTATCTTTGTGTACTCCTTCCTAAGGGGCACTACAAAGGAAATGAAAAACTGATGTTTCAGAATCAAAAGTCGAAACTTCAGGCACTAAAGCGGATTTCTGCCCTGCTAAAATCAACCCTTACTATCCCCCTCCCCCATTTCTCTCTTTTCTCCTCAGAACAATTTCTGTCAAAAAAGATGTAACCAGCCCTGGCTGGGTAACTCAGTTGGTTAGAGCATCATCCTGAGACACCAAGGTTGTGAGTTGGATCCCCAGTCAGGGCACATACAAAAATCAACCAATGAATCAACCAATGAATGCAGAGATAAGTAGAACAAATTGATGTCTCTCTTAAAAAAAAAAAAAAAAAAAGACATAACCATCCTACTGACTTGAAAGTTTTCTTTTGAGATTTCGGCCTCAAAATTTCACTTCAGGATAAGACAGTAAAATTGTGCGTACCAATTCCTTTTTTTTTATTATTGATTTAAAAAAAAAAAAAAGATAAAGAGGAAGGAAAAGGGAGAAACACTGATGTGAGAGTGAAACATCAATTGGCTGCCTCCTACACTCCCCCCTACCAGGGATTGAGCCCGCAACCCAGGCACGTGCCCCAACCGGGAATGGAACCGGCGACTCAGGCGCACTGGACAATACTCAAACTACCAACTGAGCCACACCAGCCAGGGCTGCTCACCAATTTCTAAATTCCTAATGCCTCTTAATAATCAATGTTTTGATCAATAAAATACTTAGAAATCTACTACTGATGCAAATTAAATGATATAAAATTCCTCTGTGGTCATTCATCATCCGGCCATTCTCATATATTGGAAAGCATTGACTGGAAATGTTAATGACTGAAAAGGAAGACACCCCTAGTACTCAAGGAATGTACCTTCCATCTCGGTTGCTAAGTGCACACTAACACATAAATTCCTTCCTGCAGCTGAAATACAATAAGCCTATATGAAGAGGAAACTTTTTCCAGATTTCTGCAAATTATGAGCAGCTGGTACTCTGTTAAAGACCTAATTTCCTATGACTAAACACAAGAGTAGTTATCAGCCAAAATTTCAACTTCTCTGAGTAGAGGAGCAGCGCAACTTTGGATAAAGACTATTCTTAAAAAATAAATAAATAAATTTTTAATTGAAATCTACTTTAATCTAGCCTGTCAGAACAATGAGAAAAACCACAATAATACCATTAGTAGTTTCTTAACCCATCCTCCAGATAGAACAAAATCTGGACAGAAATACCACAGGGCTCTGAAAAACATAAAGAAGTGAACGTAGTTTTCACCAGCGGAAGGTGGTTCATGCTGCACCCTAAAAAGAATTTGCATCGAAAACAAACAAGAAACAACACTTCATTAACTAGAGCATCAAAGGCCTCCCAAGTCTTATTCCTGAACACGGGAACTTATTCTGCGCTCAATGTTACGATGCTACAATGAGCAACAAGAGACAGGAAGAAATAAGAAACGAGAGTTCTGGCTAAGGGTCATTTCAACATAGTGATGTTAGATGAGTTCTTTTTTGTGCTTAGGTTTCTCATCTGTACAAATAACCTTCAGCTTCCTCACTGGGTTCCCTAAACAATGTATCCTGCAAATCTTTACAATGGGGAAAACTACGCAGCAATTGATGCTATAAAGCTCTCTAGAATGACTAAAGAGCAATGTGACGCTTTCCTAAATGAGTGTAATGTTATGTATGCATACACCAGAATGCTGTTCCTTTCAAAAAAGCCCCCACAGGAAGTTGTGCTTATTCAAAAACTGCTACCATCACTCAAAAGTTTAGACATTTTTCTGGATTTGCTCTCGAGTCAGCAGTTCACTCTTCTGAATGCACAGCAGCGGAATACAGATATTCCTAATTTCAATTTATGCCTTGTTTACTTCCTAGAAAGAGTTCAAGCAACTTATATTAAAAACATTTATGTTTGTGTATAAAGGAGAAAACTGTATGGCTTCCCCAGGTGACCTCTCCGAAAGGAACCTTTCTTTAAACATTTATGCTTGTGAAGAAAATAAAAGGGCCATGTGACTTTGTAGGTACAATTCCAATTTAGGGAGGAGGGGAGTCAAACTCCACATTTTCAACATCCATTTCTCCCTTCTCACCCCGTGTTTCTGACAGCACGAATAACTGCTTATTTCTCTCTTCTGCAACTCCGCTGCTTCATCAATAGGCTAGGATGGTACTGGATAAGAGCTGATCACTTTTCTGAAAGGTGACTTTCAGAAAGTGTAAGCCTGACCCCTCACATTAAATAAGGACACAGGTGCCTTAACTGTCCTTCAGACACAAAAATAGTTTTTTAAGCCCCACATTCTTATTCACAGAGCCTCTGCAAAATGGCCACACTGGAAATTTTGCATCTGTAAAAGTACTTAGATTAATTACTCTTTGGTCTTCTTAATAGTTCACTAAGTTATATGCACACACATCGAATGACATGGCAATAACTGAACCCTCACCGATTCTAAGAATTACTTTTTAGTAAATTCTATAAAACACCGTTAGAGCGACACCAGCAGTTACCTAAAGGAGAATTTAGCCAACTTGCCATGCTCATGAAGACCACGCTTTCATCCAAGAGATGACAAAAGGTAAAATTTAGGCTGCAAAACCAAACACAGCCTGTGCTGCTCCAATTATCATCTTAGCGATTATGAGTGTACTCATCTATTGCTCCCAATTTCACTTTACTGGCTGATAAGCAACAGTGAGTCTTCCCACAGGACTGGCTCACTGCATCCACCCCACCTGAAACTTTTATCAACAAAGGAGAAGAAATAAGCAATCACCCACACAGGTGAAAACTCATCTTTGAAGCTGCTTCGTTTTTCCAACTTTCTTTCTGGAATAACTTAGAGCATCAAGAGTAACAAACTCCAGGAGCCCTTGGAATGATGGGATCTTTTCGAATAGGCTTTTCTTTCTTCTGAATATCTATTTATCTTGTAACAAATGGAGCCCCTTTGGAATCTTCACTTTGGGAAGTCCGTAACTGTATTTCAAAACAAGGACGTGCCTGAACTATCATGCTCAGTTTTGAAACAGGTCTGCCTATTTTCTTTAAAGGTTACAGGAAAATGGGGTGGGATAAAGAGTGGGGGACCGTCAGATCCAAGTGATGTACAAATGAGAGCTTGGACTGCTCATTCTAGAATGTGGTTGGGGTAGTTTGTATCCTTCTGACCTGTGTGGGGGCGTAAAATATAAGGCCACTCATCAGACACTCACCTTGAGAATTTTTACCACCACTCTCTCATTGTTGGTGATGTTAATGGCCTCAAAGACTTCACTATACTTTCCCCGACCAAGTTTTCGAACCAGTTGGTAATCGTCTTGATTTCTGTGAAAGACAGGAGATAAACATAAATGCCAGGGTTTGTGTTTTAACCAAGCCTAGGACCATTATACACCCCCCCACCCGGCCACTTCCACTATTCAAGCCCTTGGAAGTGTCTACCCATCAGCCACAACGCATTCCCTAAATGAAGACCACAACACAAGCTCGGCTCCTAACCTGATGGTTCCCTCATAACTTGGGGAGAGGTGGCAGGAAGGCCCTGCTCTGAGCCCACCTAGACGGGTGAGCAGAGCACCCCCCGCCCCCGCAGGCTCGGAGGGTGCGCCCCTCTGCCCGGGGCGCCACAGCACCTGCCCCGGATTTCGCACCCCGAAGTACACCGCGCCTGCTCGGAGCATCGGGACGGCTTTTAAAAATTTCCTGCCACCCAGCCTCATCTCCAAAAACTACAAAGGCAGAGCACTGTAGCAGCTCCGGGGGACAGCTGTGGCTTTCCCACCCCACAGACACCCAAAGCGTGCGAAGGGGCCGCTCGCTCCCCCCACCAGGCCCTGGTCCCCGAGCCCCTTCCCCCAGGCAGAAAGCACTCCTCGGGCCCAGGGGAGGGGGCGCGCGGCGGGGG